ACCTGTTGTAACCTAACTCAACTCAACCGAAGTCAACGACATCCTATACACCCACCTCCTTTTCGGGTCCCCCTTTTTACAACATTGATACATTGAACGAACCGACCACCAACTAACCAAGAAAGCAAGAAACATAAAAGTAGAGCGCTCAAATAGTTATTGATTGATTGATGTTATACTTTACTTTCTCTCATGCAACCATAACTAACCATAACCATAACCTTAAAACATAAACGTAACCATACAGCAAGCAAGCATCGTTGCAGATTTTTCTCTCCCGCGCAACATGCAATGCATTTTTCCTTTTGCATGCTATTTTGAAAAAGGAAAAGGAAAAAAAAAGATCACATACCCCAACCAACCCTTATCCTCCCGCCCCCTGTCTCTACCCGCCCTATTTCAGCCCTGACCCCTCCCCCCTCCGAACCATGTTTCTTCGTCATCTTCTTCGCATATCATTCCCATCTCTCCCCACAACCCTAGTTTCCCACACATAGCCAATCACCCTCATACCAACTCTCCCCGACACCGACTTTCCCCAACACTAACACTAACACGCCCATTCTACATCGATGCACTTACACCAAGCAAGCACACCATCTCGACACTACGTACTTGGGTTATCTCGGTAGCTCCAGTAGATTAGTTGATATCAAAGAAGGGCTTAAGCTTAATAATAAGCGACCACTCATCATTCGTGACCTCCTTGCGGTAGAACTCCTTCAGACAGTCGATGCTGGCGCGCGAGATGAGACTGTACAGCGTGTCCGACTCCTCGAGCTGCCGCCCGTACGTCGGCTGGTGCCCGCCCATCTCGATCTTGACCGCCACCGACGGCTGGCCCTTCTTGCACACCGGGATCTGCTTGTGGTCTCTTTCGATGGATGATCTGTGACATATATAAGTTGTTAGTGATATGTTTGCAAGAATCTAAAAAGTAGGGAGAAGAAGAGGGGGCAAAACTCACACTCTCCCCAAACTAATAACCTCCCTAAGCCCCGTCGTCGGATTCGTCTTGACTGCCGCAATCGGCGTGCCCTGTCTTAAATTACCATCCACGACATCGACACCGACGACAATCGGGCCCGTCTTATTGAACACGGCCACGGTATTCAGCACACAAGGGAACACAGCCAGCAATTTAGACTCTTCCTTCTTCTTCTCAAGCTGCTCCTCCATGTGCTTCGTGAAAGCGTCGAAGAGATGGTAGATGATGTCTGCCGTGAAGATCTTGATGCCGTTCTCCTCGGCGTACGCGTTGGCTTCCTTGTCGACCTTGACATCGAAACACAGCATGACGGCGTAGTCGGGCGACTTCTCCAGCATGGTACCGCACTGCATCACGTCGCGCTTGAAGACTGGGCCGATACCCACGTTGGCCACGGGGATCTTGCAGTCCTTGAGGAAATCGAGCAGGGCTTCGAGGGAACCGAGGGTGGAGGCCTGCACACTGACACCACGACCGGATGTGGACACGCGGCTGAACAGCTTGTTCAAGTCAGCCTCGACTTCTTCCTCGAGATCCTCTTCGTCATCATCAGGGCCGACGACAAGGAGTCGGGAACCAGCAATGGCGCCTTCGAGACCCGGCGCGCTGATCTTGACACCCATGGCGGCCTTGACCTCCTTGTTGTGTACATATTGAGATTTGACACGCAATTCCTTCATGACAGCCGGAGTGAGCAGTGCTCGAATATTCGTGACTATGGCGCCTTCGACACCACACACAACTATTCGATCACCCTCCCGGAGAATACCGTTCGACAAGATGACATCGATGGTCATACCGAAACCTTCAATTGCCTTGACTTCGAGGACGGTAGCCTGTACCTCTGACAGATACATGAGCGAGCCGACCATGCGTTCCTGCGTCAGCTGCAGAATGAGCTTCAACATATCGGGGATACCCTCGCCGGTGTGGGCGGATGTGGGGACCAAGGAGACGTAACGAGCCATCGACTTGTTCTCGTGGAAGACCTCGGCGTTGAAACCCTGCTCGGAAAAGGCGAGCTTGGTCTGCTCCAACCGGTTCTTGAATTCGTTCTGCACAGCGCGGCTTTGGAGAGCCAAACTGTCCTGGAAGCCGTTGTTGGCCACCTGCTTCCATCCGTACAGACGATCGATCTTGTTGAGGGCCACAATGAAGGGGGTCTTTCGGTCACGGAGCAGCTTCATCGATTCCAGAGTCTGGGGCTCGAGACCGTGCATGATATCGACAACCAGAATAGCAATATTACAGAGCGAAGAACCTCTGGAACGCAGGTTGGAGAAAGACTCGTGACCAGGGGTATCGATAATCAACAGACCGGGAACCTTCAACTCGAACTTTCCGTCCTGGTTGACTACGGCAGTCTTCTGCTTGATGGCCTCGCCTGGCAATCGAGTATTAGTTGTGATCAGAAACACAGGGGTGAACATTGTGACAAACCTGGGAAGTATGTAGCACCAATCTGCTGGGTGATACCACCAGCTTCACCCTCCTGGACATTGGTTTGTCGGATCTTGTCCAGCAGTTTGGTCTTTCCGGTATCGACGTGACCCAAGATACAGCAGATAGGACTTCGGAGGTTGTCCTTGGATCGGGCAGCCAGAGCAGCCTGGTGTGTCTTCTCTCTGCGCTCGGCAGCCTCCTTCTTTCGCTTCTCGGCGGCAGCTCGGGCAGCTGTTGTCGCCTCGTCTTCAGAGGAGTCCGATTCGGACTCTGACTCGTCTTCAGAGTCTTTCCGGCCGCCCTTTGGCCGCGAGGGTAGAGATTTAGAAGTTCCCTTTCCGGCCTCTTCGTCTGAATCGGCGTCCCAGCTGTCCTTGGCGTCATCGCCTGATGCTGCGGCGGCCTCCCAGTCGTCCTCGATCTCTTCATCTTCCTTGGCTTTCTTGGCAGCGGCCTTAGCAGCTGCCTTTGCGGCGGCTTGTTCGGCAGCCTTGACTTCGGCTTCCTTGGCTGCAGTTTCAGCAGCTATTCTGGCCCTCTCTGCGGCTTCGGCCAAAGCTGCTTCCTCGTCGACCTACAACAACAGATTAGCAAAGACAGTACAGTGATGATGAGCTGGAGGACAGGCACGAGGTCCGAACCTTTTGATCAGCCTTCTTGCTGCGCTTCTTGATGTCGGCCTTCTTCTTCTTCTCCTTCTCGCCATCTTCCGAGGGTCCAACCTGGATACCGGCGGCAATCATCTGCTGCAGCTTCCTCTCATTGCGAGCCTTCTCTTCCTTCTGAGCCTTGGTAAGGTATTTTCCTTCCTTCTTGAGTTGCTCGATTCTCTCCTTCTCCTTTTGCTTCTTCTTGGCCCTCTCTTCCTCGCGTCGCTTTAGCTCTTCGGCTTCCTCCTTTTCGAGCGCCTCAAGCCGAGCCTTTTCAGCCTTGGAAGCTTCCTCTGACATCTCACGTTGTCGCCGTAACTCCTCCTGTTGCTTCTGAAGAGCGGCTAGGTGCGGTGGCAGCTTCTTCCCCTTCTTGGGAGCCTCGTCGGCTGCGGCCGCGGCGGGTTCATCTTTCTTCTCCTCGACAGCGGCTTTGGCGGGTTCCGCAGCTTTGGGAGCGGGCGCAGGCGTAGTCTTCTTCTTGGCGGCCTGTATAAGATAGCGTTAGTTAGAGAGCAATCGACAATCAGAGTGCAGATAGATGAGGGCACCGACCTGTTCCTTTTTCCTCTGCTTCTCGCGCTCCTTCTTCAGCTTCTCCTTCTCGGCCTTGGTGAGAATCTTGCCGTTGGCGCCGACTTCATCGTCGCCAGCGGGAGCAGCAGCGGCAGCCTTAGCGGCCTGCTGGTTCTTGTTCTGCTTTCCTCCTTTTCCCTTCTTGTCGGGCAGGGCGAACTCGTCCTCGGCCGAGGCCTCCTGGGGCGGCTTGAAGGCGGAAATGTCGGTGGGCTCGGGGGTGGCGGATTGCGGCTGCTCGCCATCGACAAAGTTCTCGGAGAGACCCTTCTTCTTGCGCTTCTCGCGGTTCTTCTTCATCATGGCCATGAGGCCACCGGCGGGCGCATCACCGTCTTCCTCGGCGTTTCCGTCGGGGGCATCGTCGGCAGGGGCGGCATCACCGTTGGTGGGCGCAATGGACTCGCCAAGGTCAGCCTCCCAGTCGTCGGCGGCCTTCTTTCCTCCCTTCTTCTTGGGCGGCATGGTGGCGGATTGGCGGGGTCACAGACAGATGCTGACGGTGATGATGGGTAGCAGGGGATCAATCCGTAGCTACGTAGCAAAACGCAGCGTGATTGAACGGCCGGAGCAGGAGGTGACACAGATACAGAATCTGTACAGAACCTCGTCTGTGGCCGGGTTCGGTTTGTGGTGGTGACGGTGGTTCGGTCCGTGGGTGGTCGTGGGGTACGCCGGACAGAGGAGGTAAAAGACTTGGTGGGGTGCACAACGAGGTGGGATGTCTACTACGAGGAGACGACCGTGAAGGTGTTCATGTAATCGGGTCTAGTGTAAAGTCATGTCTTAGCCTTGGAGACTTCCACGACATGGCACGGGTCTCGCAGGCTCTTCTAGCTACGCTTGGCTTATCTCCGAAGAAAAAAGAGAATTTTGGGCCGGATGAGAGAAAAGTGTTGGAATTGTCTCAGCTCAGTGACTTTGCACTACTGGACTGCACTACTGGACTGCACGAGGGGCGAGGGCAGTAAATGAGTGGAGGTGGGTAAGGGCCCAGCATAGGTGTGTTGAGGGCTAGCTAGGTGAGGATACCTCCTAGAGCTTAAGCGAGCATCTTGTCTCCATCTTGTGGGGGGCACGAACCTCTATTATAACCAAACCCCACACTTGCTGTGCCGATTACGTAGTGTAAGACTAGAATCTCGAGCAAGGCAAACAATCATTCGAAATCAATAAGCATAATCTTTCCTATATCAATCATGTCACTCACTAGGACTAAGTCATGCAAATCAAACAAACAAATAAAATCTATAAGCCGCCCACAATATGACACAAAATCAATCCCAATCAGGTATAAACAGCTACACACACAGGTATTAAGGTAGACACGGGCAAAAGATAAACTCCGAATCGGGGAATCGAACCCCGGGCATGTCGGCACGTCTAACATCAACTGCAACCAGAGGATGGGATGAGAGCGACATATGTTAGCCACTACACCAATTCGGATAAAGAACACATCACTCGACCTCGGCCGGACTCGAACCGACAATCTCTAGAGTATCAGATCACTGAGGAAACCGAAATCTAGCGCCCTAGCCATTAGGCCACGAGGCCCTCTTCAATTGATCGTTGCCTTTCAGTGATAAAGGGTCTCGTTATTATAGATTATGCTCAACGGCATTAGTGAAATGGGGAAGCTATTTCTCGTTTATAGAATCAAGACCTCATCTATGATAGCACGGAGTAGCAGCTAATCCATGAGAAAGGAAGGATCTAAAGGGATATGGTATTGGGAAAGAATATTATATGGGCCAGGTGTCTGTAAAGAACCTATGAGCTATACATAGAACCTAGTAGGCTACACACACAGACAGATATGCCTTCCGATGATTTTCTTGGTTCGTTTGTATCACAGTAGTAATGACTTGCGAATAGATGTGTGTAGTTGATATAGACACATAACGCATGCGGCTCGATAGGTTCGCTCAGGAATAGGAATTACAATAAATCCCGTCATATCAATTCACCCTGCGATGACCTTGATGACTGGTCAAATACCATCCTCTTTACCATCCTCTTGCTGCGGCACAGACAAAATCAGATCCAATCCTCAAGTCAAAGGGCATCCAGTCAAGCCAAGCATAATGTCAAATACTATACCGACAAGGCTAAGTGAGTCAAAGGTGACAATTAGCACGGACAACCTAGGACTCAGAAATGAGGATGACATCGTCTAACATGACATGAGTCAAAGCTTCAGCAAGCCACAGGGCTTTACTTCACCACCAGGCAGCAGATACTGAATGTTGAATTTATGAATTTCCCATTTGCGAACAACGTCTATCTCAAATGGACAAACCGCCTCGTGTCACGACACGGCGGCCGTGGTAGTAATCTATGTCTAACACCGCGTGATCATCGGGTTGGGAGAGCAGCAGTACCTGTGTCTTGCTTGCCCTCATCATCCCTCGTTTGTTTCCTCCCCCTGTACCCGGCCAGCGCCAGCGTCGTTGCAGTCATTATTCTTTTAAAAACCCTTATGTCACCGAAATGCGTCTCTTCGTTCCCCCCCAATTTCGAAGCGAGGGCCTCTAGGACTCGGGCTCCTCCACCTCCGGCTTGGCGGGCTCCGCGTCCGTCATCTCCTCGTCCTTGGCGCCCTCGGCCTTCTCCGGTTCCGCCTCCTTGCCGGCTTCTTGTTGGCTCGCCTTCTTCGCCGCAGCTTCGGCATCGAGTTTGGCTTGTAGGGCCTGGCGGTCAGCCTCGACCTTGTCGAAGTATCTCTGGGAGATGGGCCCAGCCATGGCACGGATCTCGTCTATCTTGGCAATGTACACTGCCTTGGTTGTGTCCTCGCCTTCCTCGTACAGCCAGTCCTGTTGATCGTTAGATACAATGTAGATGTAGTAAGACAAGCAATGAGAACTTACCTCGCTTTCTGTCAGCTTGGATCTTAGCTTGTCCTTCTCTTCGTCGCTGGCGAAATCGGCAAACTGCTCGTCTAACTTGTTCCGCATGTCGTAGATGTAAGTCTCGAGTTCGTTCTTCTTCTCTTCTGTGTCGGCGACAAGCTTGTCTTCCATGATCATTGCATTCTCCTTCTCGAACAACGCCGTCTTGGTAGCCTGGTCGATCGAGTTGGTTCCCGAAACGATGGGCAGGTCACCCTTGCGAACTTGCTTCTTCACCTTGCGTGTCTTGGGCTTGCCATCGGCCTTCTTGTCGTCGGTCTCCATAGCCTGGGAACAGTGGGTCAGCCAAAACTCTGACATCAAAGTAGGGTTCACGGGGAGACACTTACATCGGCATCCTTCTTCTCTCCTTCTTTCGTCTCGTCCTCCTTGATCTCCTCCTCGACCTCTTGGTCCTCGACGTAGTAACCGCTCTCTACATTGAGGATACCGTGAATGTTCACCCTCGCCTTCAGCTTGCAGATCATGAATTCAGTCTTGGGGTCAGCCTTGACACCCTTAACTGAGAAACGACCGATGAAAGGTGAGACCTTGCCGGGAAGGTCCTGGGGGTTCGAGTACCGCGCCTCCAAGTCAAAAGGCTGTTTCCGGTAGAATGTTAGGATCTTGGTAGAAGGCAGGACATTGCCCCTGTTGAAAACGGTCAAGCTGGTGTCTTCGTCGGGGATATCAACATCTTTTTCCCATTGGAATTCAATCGGGTAGTGGACGATATCTGCGACGGAGAAATCGCGGACCTTGAAGACTGGCGACAGGATAGCACAGGCAAAGGCGCAACCACGAGCAATGGCCTCGTCCTGGTTGAGGGTGAAGGAGAGCGTCTTGCCGAAGAAGGCCTGGATGCGCTCCTTGATAGCAGGCACACGGGAGCTACCACCGACCAGCTCGATGAAGTCGATGTCGTCCTTGGTGAGCTTGGCATCGGCAAGCGCTTGCTCCAACGGCGCAACCACCTTGAGGAGTAGGGGCTCGACGAGGGCCTCGAATTCTTGTCGCGTGACCATGGCGTTCACATCCACGTCGTTCATGAGCGACTCGATGTTCAACGGGGCTTGCTGGTTGGCGGAGAGGATCTTCTTCATCTTCTCGGCAGCGGCTTCGACACGGGCCGTGGCCTTGGGGTTGCTCAAGATGTCGAGCTTGTACTTGCCCTTGAACTCCTTGGCGAAGTGGTTGACCAAGGCCAGGTTGAAGTCACGACCACCAAAGTGGCGGTCGAAGGCAGTTGACTTGACGGTCAGCTCGCCCTTCTTGAACTCGACAACAGAGCAAGAGTAGTTGCTGTGTCCGACGTCGATGAAGGCGACACGGCGAGGCTTCTCTCCCTCACCGGGCAGGTCTAACTTGGTGATACCGTAGCCCAGGGCGGCGGCGGTGGTGTCGTTCATGATGCGCAGAGGCTTGAGACCGGCGATCTCGGAAGCATCAAAGATGCAGCGGCGCTGGACGTCGGTAAACCACGGCGGCACGCTTATAACGACATCAGCCACCGGCAACTTGAGCTCCGTGCTGGCAGTGTGTTTAATCTTGCTCAAGAACATGGCAGTAAGCTGTGTCGCTGTGAACTTCTCCTTCTTCCCTTGGTACGAGACCTCGGCGCCAACCTGGCCGTTGCAGTCTACGAGGGCGGCCGAGACATACTGCTGCTCGATCTGAACCTCGGGGTCTTGTAGGGCGCGTCCGACAAGACGTTTTAGAGAACCAACGGTGTTCTTGAGGTTGGAGATTTCTTGTGTCTTGGCCGGCTCACCAAGGTAGCGGGACCGGGGGCCGAATCCTACGAGGGAACTGAAATCATCGTCAGCTGAAGGAAAGATGTCATGGGTCGGTGGGCGAAACTTACGGCGTCGCACGGTTCGAGACTTCGTTGGTGATCTAATCAAGCAACAACAACAAAGACATGTCAGTCTGGCGATCAAGAGCGTGGCAGAGGGTCGTGGACGGAGCGAGAGATATGACGTACGACATCGACACCACGATTTCTCGCCACAGCGATCGCTGTGTTGAGTGTTCCGAAATCAACACCTGGTAGACAGACACCAAGATTAGCAGGCGGAACGGCATCAGATGCGCTGCGATGTATGGCGCCCGGGCGTCTTGACATGGGCTCTGGCCAGCCACTCGGGTGTCAGAGCGGGGAAACATACCAACGACACTCATGTTGTCTGAGGAAGCTGTGATTAAGCGGAGAGAGGTTCGTCGAAGGGAATTCTCAGTTGAGAATCAAGAATACAAGTGGTGTATTCAGGTGCAATGAAGCCACGAACAAAGCAAGCCCAAGATAAACCAGTCGCGGGCGGTGTGTATGTCTCTGTGTGAGGTCGCGGGGGGCTGGCGGGGGGGGTTCGGGGATAATGCGTGACGACAGTGGTGGTCTGCTATTGCAGCGGATATACTGTGGTCTTGGGTAGCTATAGCCTCAATCTGCAATCGGGCACCACGATAGAATGGTGAATCTTTAAATAGGGAAGGTCGAGAGATGGAGCGAGAAAAAAAGCTGCCCAAAGGATGTGCACTGCAGGTATCGACTACCTAAGTAATAAGCTGGTGGTGGGTGGTGGTGGGAGGAGCGACACAGGGTGACAGGGCCATCTTGTGGTCGAATTCTGGTGCAGACTAGCCTCACCCGGGCTGTACTACCCCTCCCTAGCCACACCCCTCCCCTTCCAACCCCCCCTCGCCCCCCTCTAGCAAAGCCTCTAAGGGCGGGGCGTGCCATGCGCAGCTCTGCTCAGAGACAGCGCGAAACTTCTAGACGCTTCACGCAACGACGCCCGCAGCCAGGACCAGAACTCTTTCTGCAACGCATGCGGACAACCTGGCCTGGGCAGGCACCAACCTGGGCTGCGCGGCCAAGGGATCAGTCACCGCCAGCCCTGCTCAACCCATACAGCGAGCCCATGCATGAATAGTTAGGTAATTCCAGCTTGCTGTTATGTCTTGCCAAGCGCTTTTCCAGATTTTGTAAGGAAACATTTATCTCATCTTGCCATCTTGCTATGGGTGCACTCTTATTATTGTACACTTTGTTTCTCTACTGTCCCGCCACAGCCGTCTTGGCTCAGGTATGACGACTGCTACCCACTTACCTACGACCACCCCCTGTCTATCCTTCTTATCACCCCGCCGCCGGGAGGTTTATCGCTGTCCAGCTTGTTCATCTCGAGTCATGGTGGGGTTCAAATTTATTTTTTCTCTCCGTCCTGGCCGCCCCACAGCATGATGTAGAGAGGTACTTACTTACCGTAGCAATTCTCATCTTACACTAGAAGGGTTTTCTGGCCAGTAAGCTTCAAGCTGCTTATTTACCTGTGTTGTTTCCATGCCAGGGGAATATGCATAGCAACGCCTCGTGATATTCGCCAGTTCCGTGTCCGACAACTACGGCAGACCTGATATTCAGACTGGGGGCATGCCTGTCACGAGCTTCGCAAGCTGATGACGCGACCGGCATACACGGAACAGTAGTGAACTTTATTTCCAGCTTGGGCAATGGAATGAACCACATTACGTGTACCGTGTGATAAATCAAAG